GTGGGGATGGTGTTCGCTCTGTGTTGTAGCGTCCTGATGACACCCAGTTTGTGCTCCAGTGGATGATGAGAGTCAAACCTTAAATACTGATCCGTATGTGTAGGTTTACGGTACATGTCAGCTTTTAGATGTCCCCCATTACTGATGGAAATCTCACAGTCTAAGAAGACTAACCTGCCACTTTTCATATCCTCCCTGGTGAATTTGATATTTCGGTCCACTGAGTTAATGTGATCCGTGAATTGTGGTACGTCAGGATGTGATTGCAGCCATTCCCCAACTCATGGCCATTGATCAGTGGTCTTTGATCAATGGTCATGAGAATTTGCATAATTAAGATTAAGGAACTGACCTCACAGCCCATTGTTCCTTCAGTGGGCTGGTTTCAGTCATTATGCAAATGTCCTGTTTATAAGATTGAAACCTGCAGTCAGCTGAGACTGAAGACGTCACCTAATGATGATGAAACATTTCTCCCACAAAACGCTACGTCCAGATGAACAGAATCAACTTTTGGAGATTAGAGATTCTCAGAAACTAAAGAAATCATAAAACCCAAAATCCACAACAAAATTACTTCCCCAAAGCGCCGGGTCCAAACCCCAGGGATCCTAACAAGGATTCACGAGCAGCCACGGAAATCCTGAACAGGGAGGAGGAAAACCAAGTCACTGTCCAACAGGAAGGGTTATTGAAAGTTTCCATGAAAAGCTATTAATTTGTGTTTTATCTACTTAGCGTCCTCCGTCTGGGAATAATTAGGTAACAGGATTCATCCGTCCACGAAACTGTCAGTTCTCCAGTTATTTTTAAGCCTCTGACATTTTTAATGAAATATTTTTATTTTAAAGAATCAAAATTACTCCCCGTCCCCCCCCCCAAAAATTTGCAGACCTAATTGTATGTTCCCAGTCCTTTCAGCCTCTTATCTCCTGCAGTTTTCTTAAAAACCTGAGCACACTATCCTTTCTTTTCACATTTTTATTATGCTATCTCTCAAACTTTTGATGTTGATTTAATGTTTAATTCTTTGAATAAAAAGCATGTTGACAGTGTTTTTGAAAGGTTCTTTATAAATAAAGTTACTACTATTTATAATAATAATAACTTGGATTTGTAGAGCACCTTTCAAGAATCCCAAGATTCTTCTTTAAAACAGTTCATCTCTCTGTGTTTGAAATTCTTTAGTCCAATGAGAACAAGGAAGAAAATAAAGCCAGGGGGCCAAAGAAAAGTGAGCGGCGCCAGTTGAAGACCAAGCGCCTGAGGGAGTACACTATCAAGTCCCACTCGAGCATGCCACCCAACAACACCTACGTGAACTTTGAGCGCTTCGCCCAGGTCGTGGAGGACATTGACCAGATGGAGAGCTCGTTCGTTAGCCTGGC